ATTTCATATATTTTTATATTTAATTACTTAACATTAAAAAATTATGTTATTTTTATCATGTTATTATTTATCATTTTAAGAAATAAAGTAGAAAAAGTTAAAAATTTATATTGAAAAAAGTAAGTTTATTCAATTTTATATTTTCATATATAATAATAACTTTGTAAATTTACATTACATTCTTAATAAAATATTTCCAACCAAACACTATAATGCCATCACATTCCATATAATCATCACTTTCCTATATTATACCATTATCTTCCTAACATTCAAATATTCAGCAATTACATCATCAATAATTAAATTCTTAGTAAACTACTAAATGCAACTTATAAATTTATTTCAATATAATTTAACACAGAATGATAGATCCGATTAACAAAATTATCACAGAAAATACAACAGATAATAAAGTAACATATGATGGAATACTAGCTTTGTCCTTCCTGATTATCATCCCTTCAATAATTGCATGATTCGCAATTAATATGTAAAATGAGAGAGAGATTTGTCCGGCCATCTTTGTCCAATCTCCATTATCCATGGCCACCATTCTAACAACACCTCCAACCAATGATGCAATGTTCACTAGAATTACTGTAGCCAATGGAGCAAGAAACATTGTTGGCGCTTGGAAATCAAACACTCCCATTTCGTATCGCTTAACTTGTTCATCATCAGTGACTTTACTTGTAGGCAAAAAACTGGCTTCACTCATACCAAGCTTACTCAGAATGGCATCCACATGTCCATAAAATTGAGATGTAACTGATTTTATCATCCATATCCTCCGTTCATTTGTCCATGTCCGAATTTGCCCACCAGTTGTGAGAATCTCGTATAAATTTTTTGAAAGAGCTGATATGAAAATGAACAAAAATAGGCTGAAATATGGATCTGATACCTGTGAGACGAGCAAAGGAAAAGATCAGTGATTAAAAACATGTAACAAAGAGTTCAATAATAAAAAGACATGCACTCAGAGCTTTTGCTTTTGTGGTTAATGCATATATCCTCACTAAAAAAGTGAGATTGAATTCTCCTCTAATTTTGTCTTTTAAAAACCACCCTTTCAATTTATCGCACTTTACCTCTGGATACAAAGGAATGCCATTGAGTAGACAGAGTTGAGGGATGAAAGCAATGCCCCAAAGAGGCAGGGAAAAGAGAAGAGGCCAAAATGCAAGTTCTGCATAGCACAAGCTTTGAAGCAAAGACATCCTTAATGGTCCATAAATGAGAGGGCAAAACCTAGAGATGGCAACTGCAGTCAATCCTGATGCCCATCTTGTGCCCTGAATTAATAGGTCACTTAAATTTGTGGTAGAAGTTCCCAAGAATTGGGGCCTTGGCGGATTAAGATAGACCGATTTCCAGCCTTTGCAGTGTAAAGTAAAGCTTGTGATGTAATCTTCCACAACACAAAAATACATAAAACCGACCTGCAGACATATGAATTGGAGGGCAATTAGTCATACGTATGATATTATTGTGTCACTATAATACGAAACAAAATTTCATTTTGGTTGATGTACTTGCCTTCGTGCCCCATGTTGTCTGATTTTCGTAGGAGCAAGAGGCTAAAACTCTGGCCTCTACCAGCAACATGCTTGAAGATTCCCCATCATTGATGAAACTAGGCTTATAGTCTTGACGAAGGGTTTTTATGAACTCGTTGGATGGACCAAAAGATCTCTTAAGTGCCATAAGGTCTATACCTGCGATTATATTTTCACATACTCCACATTAGCGAGTCATGGTTATTAAAATTTTCAACTTAGATTCCTTAAGATCTCTATTAATTTTGACCTCAGCTTGATATTAAATTTGTTAAGTTTAAATATTCAGCAAGTCAAGTATGTAAATATCTTGCATATGACATTAATTGAGGTAGAGGACTAATATTTCGCTTTCTAAACAAAAGAGAGACAAAAAGAGACCTTTTAAAGAAGAGTGTTTAAGAATTCCAACACATGCAAACTTTTATAATTAGATACAACATAGTATAATAATTCACAAACAAATTAACCGACCTTCTTGGGTAACGCTGCCCAATAATGCCTCCCTCTTTATGTAAAAGTTTGTACCAGACAAAATAGGTCCTTCCAGGCCATCCATACCGTACCACTGTATCTGAAGTCAGAGAGAAAAGTAAAACAATTTTAAAATGCTCATTCTTAATTAAATGGTTAATTTGTTTCTCCACATATAGATATTTTTCTTTGAAGCCATTAACAACTAATTAATCTTGCACAAAATTGCAATCACCTACCCTGAATACAGCTCGGATTTCACTGTCATAGATATCGTCTTTGCTAATGTTCCGAAATGTTTGAGGGAACTGTACAAATGCTAGAGAGGGAGATATCTCAGGATCAAAATGATAACACATTGCTTGCCTAGCAGAAGTTGGGTCATTGCAATACATGTCACAGTCAAGCACCAGAATGTACGGAGAATTGCTCATCATCCCAGAGACCCGAAGCTGCCAATGGCAGTAAGACAACCCACTTGTTAGCAGAAAATACATAAATATATATGTACAAGAACATGCGGGGGGAATACTGCTACTGTGTGAGAAGAGACAGTAATGTACATACAAGGACATTGAGGGCTCCAGCCTTGAATTTATGACGATAAGAAGGCCTTTTCTCACGAGATACATAAACAAGGAGAGGCATTTTAACTTGGTCTCCTTGCAATTCCTCATTGGAATAGTCTCGTATAACCTACAAAATGAATTGATGATATTACATTTATATATTTTTTTACGATCAACTACTTTTATTTTTTGTTTTGATGTAATCCAATTTTTTGGGTCTTCTTAGTTTTCAATTATCTATGAGAGGGATAGTGATGATGACAGAGATTAATATGTCAGGTTTATAACAAATTAAGTGCTTAATTATAATTAATTAAAGCAAACGTTTGAGAGTGATATTAATTTGTAATTACATATGTCTTAAGAAAAAATTTGTAAATATACATTATTTGATAAAAATAAAAGAGGGGCATATTTATTCAAAATAAAAGTTAAATTCGTTGTTTTTTTTTTTTTTTCAAATCATCACTTTAGACAAATATGGACTGTCGGGTAACGTACCATTAAACCCATATGTGGCACTAATTCAACAAAAAAATTTTATTTGTGACGTACTTTTCGCTTTTAATTTCTGAACCAACCAACTGGCAAGTAATTAGTTAATGTCAGCAATGTCCAGCTGAAATCACTTAAAAGAGATTTGGAGTATATGCGACAGAACCTAGGTACTTGTTTTATAGTTAATATTTCTTGTTTATATGTAATTTTGGATCATCTAAAATCATAAAATAAATTATAAGATACTTACTTGTTTGAGTCCTTATTTTATTTTAATTTTTGACTGAACTTAGGAAGAAAATTGACATAATATTACTTTTGTAAAAGTCTAGAATATAATGGATCAAGGAAAAGAATTTTGTCAAATTGGTATAATTTTTGTCAATAATCACTATATATATGTGTGTGTGTCAATGTACCGAAGAAACCCATCGGCCAAACACTTTATTTTCAATTTGTTTTAGAATTATTGTATTTTAATTGATTGATTCGTAGATTTTTTTTTTGAAAAAACCGAAAACAAAAAAAATATTGAAGTAAGTTGAAAGGGTCACGGCATCTAGTTTTGAAGGATGTAATTAATGGACAGATGTCTAGAAGCCGAAAAGAGATATATTTGTCAAGTATCGATGTCCACGATCGAGATAGTTGCTTCATTTTTCTTAGGGAGGGGGGTTAATTAAATTAGGGAATATTTTCAATATATAAAAGTAATTAATGTAATTTGTGTCAACTTTTTATCCATGTGGTAAAATTTTATATGTAAATAAATATTTTAAAATGAAGAATAATAAATGTAGTCAAATTGAACAAATAAATGAATAAAATGTTAAGGACAAAAATGATAAAAGTAATTAAGAAGTGGTATGCGTGTTGACAATTGTTGTCAATTTTCTTACCATCTCAAATACTGATTAATAAATTAATGTCTTTTTCTTAAGAATTATTAATAAATTAATTAAGTGTATGTTTTGAGTATAAAGAAAAAACATTGGAGCTAGCATTGGAGTCATTAACTAATGAAATGGGGATATGTTCCCATGAAACTGTGGGTAGATACCTCAATGACAGAAGGGTGATCACGACTGTTGCTAATGGTAGCAGCTGCCTCCGCCGACTTGCTATGTTCTTCTCGTACTCTCCTTACCCGTTCCTTGAACATCTCATATTTTTCCTTAACACAAAAGATCACTTCATGTTCATCATTTATGTTTCAAAGTTATACTCATCGGTTGATTCATTATGAATGTCACAAGACAAAAAATGTTTAAAGTATATAGAAAAAACAAATTTAATAATGTAAGATATAGTAAACATTATATTTGATTTATTATCCATCAATAACTATTTATAAAAATTATATTCGATCTTGTATTTATATTTAACTGATTTCATTTTCAGACAGATAAATATATAATAGTAGATAGTAGTGTTATCTTTTAATCAAATTACCTCAATCTTTTGCCTCTCTGCTTTGAATTCAGAACTCTTAAAGTCGCCATGGTCATCATCTTTGGAACATGAAAAATAAGCCTCAGGGCAACTAGTCTTGATTTCATACCTCCTACAAAATGGAAGCCACGACCTTGCGAAGGTCCAAGCTTCCTTCGTACCACGCAAAGTTATGTCAGAACCACCATCGTCAGAGAGAAACACATGAAGCTTTTCTGGTGGATAATCCAGCGCCATAGCTGATATCACAGTGTTCATAACCTCCACGGTGGGCTCCTTGTTGGGATCCGCAGTGCAAATAAACACATCAATGGCTGGAAGCTTGTCATCACTTGGCAACCTCTCTGGAAATACGGTCCGAGAAACAGGACGCCAACGATAAGCTTGTCGGAGGAGCCAGGCGAAAGAGAGAAGCAATTCGGAGGCAAAGACTAGAAGCCATGGTAGGGTGGGTACGGTTCTGTTCTTGGATTCTTGGAAAAGGAAAGACGCCCTGTAGTATATCAACAAAGCTATAGCTATGGAATGCAGGAGTGCGTATGACCTATTGATGATTATGGAGAAGTTGTGGACATGGCAGAGATGGAGAGGAAGAGAGTTCATGGCTCCTTGCTTGCTGCTTGATTTGCTTTAACCCAAGAGTCAAATAAATGTAGAGAGCTCTGGTATGTACATGATTCGATAATAAATATATGTATTTTTTTATTTAAAAATAGTTGAAATTCTTTGTTTTTTTTTTTTACAAAAAAGGCAAATAAGAGATTATGTCCAAATTTATCGTCCTACTTAAAGGGGTGAATCAAATTTAATATTCATCTTTGAACGAGAACAATTTAACTATTGTATCTATTAATTTGATTAAAAATAATCAAAATTAATGATTAAAAGAATATAATGTTAGAAAGTAAAAGAATCTTTTAATTTTTTAATTATTTTTTAACCAAATTAGAAAGTAAAATGTTAAAATTGTACCCATTAAAGATGAATATAGATTTAAACCGTCACTCCTAAATAGAGTCAAAAATGTTAGACCCTACCCAAAAAAAAAGAACAACAATAATTTTAAAGAGATTAACCTTTCACAAAAATAAATCCATTTAAGAGCTACAACCTTCTCTACGATAATAATTGAAAATCTGAAAAAATATTACATGTAAACACTTCCTTATCACATAATTGTAAGTCAAACAAATTAAAATACCACGCATCAATAAAAATTATTACAATCAAGAAATATGAGTTTACAAATTAATTAATTATACTCTGTTAAATTAGATAAATAAACAATAGTTAAACTCCATATTTTAAAATGTTGATGTGTCACATTTTTATATGTTCAACTCATAGATAATCAATATGGCCTAATATTGCCAAATATGGCCTAATATTGATTGTAATAATTATGTGTAGAATTGATTACAGAGACGTAAGTTGACGGTTGACTAGGACATGGAGAGTGATAAAGTGTACATGTTTGTCCATTTGCTCAGGAAAGTCTTCTGGTTAGGTCACAATTTTAACCTAGATGAATACAGAAAAGTTAAAAAAAATTATCATATTCCAATCTCATGGATTATTTACATGATATTCAAAGTTGAATTTGAAACGTCTCAAAGGGCTGTCTTTAAAATATTAATTAACTTGAAAAACGACAGTTGAATATTTCATTTTCAAAACTAAACAACGTGCGTTTGCCTGTTTAAAAAAAAAAAGAAAACACCATAGTAGTTGAATTATGAATGGCAGATACATAAAAGGACGAAATGTGAAAGGGACAGCGGCAAGTGTTGTCCTGATTACATGCTTGAGGAAGTTGGAATACGACCCTAAAATGATTCGTTTCAAAATTGGAACAAATCAAGAGAGGGTTTCATTAATTAGTTTGATAATTAAATTATATGGGACTAACATCCAAACTGAATCCAATGAAACCCAATCTTTTTTTTTTTTTTTGGTGATAAAATGTTTACCACTTCATTCAACAATGGCACCATATATTCTATACTTCATTCGCATCAATTAGAGTAAATTTTGAGTCATGTATTGTACCATCAAATGGCAAATACCGTGCATTCTCTAGAGATTTGGCAAAGAATTGCAAAACGAACAGGTTGGGTAGCCCGTTAAAAGCAGAAGAAAAGTTTCCATCCTTTCATTAAGTGGCTGGAGGCCCATGGGGGTGATGATACGCTGATTTTCTGGCCCTTTTGCACAACTCCCGACTAAACCAGTAGTACAACTTTCTTGTGACAGCATTTAAAGGTTAGGCGCAAAATTGAAATGAATGCAATTGATAGAATATTTTAAAAAAAAATTAATTATTTGAAAAGATTTATATAAATTTTTATATTTTTATTATATTCAATTAAGTTTTTATATTTTTATTTCGAATCAACTAAGTTCTTAATTATATTTTTATTTTGAATCAAATAAACTCTTATAACTAATAATTGATAAAATGTCATTTGTTATTTTATGTCATAAGATAAATCCTCAATTATATTTTTATTTTGAATCAAAATGACATTTTATGTCACAAAATAAGTCCTCAATTATATTTTTATTTTGAGTCAAAATGTCATTTGTAATTTTATGTCATATGGCATTAATATGATATGTTAACATATCATAATTAATGATAATATAATATATTGACATATCATAATTGATAATGATGAAATATACTAATTTAGTATAATAATATGACCATGTGACATTTTTTACTCTCCATATCAATATTATATAAATATAAAATGACAAGTGGTATTTTAACTAATGATAATTAATTAATCATTAGTCATAAAAAATTATTTAACTCAAAATAAAAGTATAGGGGTTTGATTGAATGCAATACAAGAATAAAAATTTATTTAAATATTTTAAAATAATTTAAGAATTTATTTGAGTATTATACTAACGCAATTCCATCTCCTTTCTTTGTTTCTTTTTCCTTTTTGTTAAATTAGTTTTGCCTTTATCTTTTCGATCTCTCAGTTT